GAACACCCCCATACTGCCCACCTGCAACTCCATAGAGGGAGGCAAGATCTTGATGTCCTAAATCAATGTCTTTCAATCTCAGCAACTTTTAAGATGGATGAACTTCAACTCCCATAATTCCCCAGCCACCCACGCTGGCTGGGGAATTCTGGGAGTTGAAGTCCATCTGTCTTAAAGTTGCCGAGATTGAGAAACACAATCCTAAGTTATTTGAATTTTGATTCCAAACCATTGTTTGGAAGTGTTCGGCTGGGGCAGCATTACTGGAGTTTGCCCCAAATCAAAAGTGTTGGCTAGAAGTCACAATTCGAATTCAAGGCCAGGCAAAATCAAGCTTGGGAAAACGGGGGGGAGGGGGGATCATTGGAGCTGGGGAAGAATTTGGGTTGAGCAAGAAGAGCGGGTGGTAATATTTATAGCCATCATCATCATACAAATTTAATTATCTATCAATCAATCAATCAATCAATCAATCAATCATTGGCTTTTGCTTCCAGTTTTCTACACAAATTATTTAGAAGCTTAAATTTATTTAACTTACAATTATTACACAACTGGGAACCACCCCAAGTGGCTGGGGATCAGTCAGAATATAAATTTAATAAATTATGGTTGGTCACACCATCAGCCAGATGTTGAGACCGGATCTGGCATTTTTATTCGCCTATTGAGTTCCTCCCAAGGACCTGGGATGGGCAAATGTTGTTTGATGGTGTTAAATTATTATTATTATTATTATTAAACTGAGTTTCAGCAGCATCTCTTTTTTAAAGCAAATACACAGACCTCAGGAAGCACCTTAGTTTAATGCACGTCCTGCTTGAGTTTTACAACCCTCTGCAAAGCTGTAAATTCAGATTTCTGGCCGGAGGGAAAAGGGGGTGCTGGTGCAAGAAAAAACGCCATTTTAGCCCTGCTTCGGCCCTACATGCCTGGAAAAGATTGCTTAAAAATGAAACCAGGAACAAAAGCTCACCTCATCTGTTATCTGTCCTCCAAAAGTCACCCATGTCCCTGCAAGAGAGAAATAATCATAAAAAATATTATTTTTTTAATATCCTAGAAGGAGGGTGGAATTGGACGGAAGGCGACAAGCAGAAGACGCAGGAAGAGCCCTGCATTGGAAGGGACTAAGGGGGGGGGGTCCATCATAAATAAATATTATTTTTATGGCCCAATGTCCTGTTTCTGACAATGGACAGCCAGAAACGGTTGTAATTTTTTTTTTCTGCTGTTTTCCATCGATTATTCGTTACAATTCAACAAAATGGATCTCGGGGAACTCAGAAGTCTGAAAAGCCAGCAACTTGCAAGGAGGAAGACTTCGGGGGTGAATTGAATTGCGTTAAATAATTGGGGGTTGATTGAATTGAAGAATTGGGGGATGAATTTCTGTGCCCGGAGGCTCCTGATCTCTCTCTTGCTGCAGCCCGCGAGGGCTCTTGCTTTGGAAACTCAGGGATGCTGAACAAAAACGGCCTCGGGTTTCAGAACGGCTGCCTCAGTGGACCGGTCTGTCTCCAACCCATTTGTTTAAGCCAAGAGGTGGCGGGCAGGAGAATTTGAGACGGAAAAGCTAAACGCAGCCCTTTCTTGGGCGGGAGGGAGGATGCAAAAGGCAACACCTTTCCTCCAACTTTTAACCCTCCTTGCAAGATCCTCAGCACCCCCATGGTATAACCGTCAACCAGGGCTTGCGGGGTATAACCGTTGTCAGCCCAACTGGGCGACAGATTTCTGGCTGGACAAAAATAAAACGAAAAGCACCCCTCTAATTCTCGTAATTTAATTTCTTGAGGGCGCCCACGGCTGCGCTAGAGTTAACCGCGCAGTGGTGGGGTGCATTGAAGGGCGCTGCGGGTCTGATCTCCCCAAAGCCACTAGGGGGCGCTGCTGCAGGAAACAGCGCTGGGAGTGAGAAAGGGCTGCAAGGTGGACGAGGCACCACACAGATAGGGGGGTGGGTTAGGGTTTATTTTATTTTTTTAACGTGGCGTGTTTATAAACAGTTTTCGCGGGTGCCCAGTCTTGAAACGGCAGGATGTTCTAGTGCCCAGCAGTGGGCAAACTGGTGTGTCCAGGGTCACGCGTGTTTCACACAATCGTAGGCCGGGGGGGGGATCTAAATTAAAGGCTAGAATCATGTAAATCATGTAAAAATGTAAAGTTTGGAAGGAATCCCGAAGCTCCTCTAATCCAGCTCTCTTCTTAACGCACAATCTAAGTTAAGGGACGGAATCGGAGTGGGAGGGCCTTAAGGTCATCTAGACTAACCCTCTGCCCAGTGCAGAAATCTAGCCCGGGTTAAATAAACAGCATACAGGGGACTTAGCATGATTAAAATTGATATATATATATATATATATAAATGCAAAGGACTGGCAGGGAACTCGTTGCATTGCAAATTCTGCAGCGAGCTCTGCTTTTCGCAGAGGCACGAATTGCCAGCTGCGCCCGAAGCGAGATTTCGCTCACCTAAGCCGAGGCAGGAAACCCGCAGTCCAGACTTCCCGAGGTTTCTGAAAAAGACACGCACACACACGCACAGAAAAAAGACGTTGGTTTGCCGGCTGGCTTGCAAGGAACAGATGTCCTGGCCACCCCCACCTGCGCAGGCGTGCGCAAAGGGAGGACAGCACGTTGGCTTGCTCTTTTAAGCAGATGTTACAAAATTTAGGGGAAAAAACACAATTCCAGATGAGGCAGCCTCCCCCCGCAAATTATTCGCCCGGCTGGATGTCAGCAAAGCTCACGCCTGCATCCTGAAATGCTAATATTAAAGCTGGCTTCGAAACGGGGCAATCGGAGGAGCAAACGTACCCCCAACCGTGTGCTCTCCCAGATCGTGCCCCCGGTTTGGCCCGAGAGACGTGACCGTGGTTTGTCTTAAGAGCTCGGAGGGCTAAGGCCACTGAATCACGAGTGCGAGGTGGACGCGCCCGATTCTGCGAGGGCTGCCTGCATCGGCGAGGCCGGATGGTGCAAAGGAAGGTAGGCCACCAGGAGTAGCCCTGCAAAGCTCATCGCTGGAGCTGGTGGAGAAGGGCGCATGGGCAAAAGGAAACCGTTGCTCTGTGTGAGCTGCCTTCGCACCACCAGATTAGGGGCCAACCGA